TGGTGGGGGGCATGCTCCTGGAAGATTAGGGTGAGATGACTTAGGCCAATTGGGACTTAGGAATCCTGTCCTGTCTCATTAAAAACACATTACTATCTCATTTAAGTCTGCCTTTGTGTTTTTTTGCTCTCAAATTCCTATCTCTCGATGTTTTATTCATTGTTTAGATACCAAAGTCGTATGTCATGATGCTTGTCAATATAAAATCAACTGTTTTTAGGATCTTTGGTGACAACCTCTGGCATCTCTGATTTTGAGGTTTTTTCCAAGCTTTTGCTTCATGACATAAATACTTGTGGGGGGTAGGCTAAACCTTCATGACTTAGCCGCCGCAATTTGGAGGTAGTTTTCACAAGTCCTTTGTCATTTCAGCCTAGTATAACTTTTGCTGCTTCCCCACCATTCCCCCGTCAAGGTGCCACAAAAGTGGCGAGCCCTGCCTCGTTTCGAGTGGTCGCAGGTGTTGTTTCAAGTTGGACCTTCTCATATGGCAGCCCATCTGTGCAGGCAACGTCCAAAACATTGTGACAATCAGGTGCGACCGGAATGACGGAGGTGCAAATGCAGAAATGGCCTGAGTGCCACAGAAGGCCAGACAGGCTGAGTCAAACGAGATGACCGCACGCTCGCAGAAAAGTACCCTTCTGAGAGTTTGCTTGAGGGAGGTGCGCTCTCGTTATGACGCCGTGCAACTTTTTGAACTTGGTGATGACTTTTCGTGGTATGCGCGAGGAAAGCCTCGTGCTTTGGTGGTCCAACGTCGGCGTATCACGACAGGCACAGGAGATTGGAGTGGCTTGATGTCTGATGTCGGTGTACAGATCTCGTGGCAGGCGCATCACTTTGGACGTGGTGGTGGTCTTCGGCGTGCTCTGCCTGCGGCAGGTGCAGTGATTGGTGATTTTTGAGCATATGGTTCGTTTTCAAATTTCGTGGCAAGCGAAATACTTTGTGGACCCCGAACTTGAAGTGCAGTTTTCGTGCAATTCGCGTGGTTTGTTGACCTGGAAGCGCAGATGTTGTGGGGCGCTGCTGGTGGCTTGGTCCTTCATGCTATGGGCCAAGGAGTTTGCCGAACCCAACGGGGTGGACCTACAGATGGTCACCAAGGAGATGTGCATAGCACGGCGAAATACATCTTCATGGCTGATTTTTGAATCTTGGTTTGGCTGCCCTTGACCCGCGCCATGCCACGCCGACACAGTGGCAGTGGGAGCACCAAGTACACCATCTGGCACCTGAGCAACCCACTCGGCCAACGGACAGCAAAACCCACAACTGGCCCAAGATAGGAA